AAAAACCATGACATCATCAAAGCTGAGTGGATGTAAAGCAGGAAGTAAAAAAAAAATAAAAAAAAAATCCGTGTTTCATGATGTTACAAGAAGCTCAGAAGATGGGTCATGCCAGCAGGCATCATTCTCCAGAAGTACCAGCAATTTCCCTTTCTTTTGAAAGTCCACAATAGTTCTTCACTGTAGCTATGCCTAAACAACCACCTTAACACACCTAAGGATACTCCCTGTTCCTGCCAACACTCAAGAATAGTTCTACATTCCCCTGCTCTAATCAAACCTATCCTAGTTAAGTTTAATTTCCTTAAACTCCCTTGCCTGTACCCAGTACGCTCTGCTCAGGTGTTCCCAAACCCACTGCAGTCAGGCTCCACTTCCAGAACCTTTATTCACTAGAGAAAGGCATAAGCTTCCTTTTGAACTTGAACTTAATAAAAAACAAAAACCCAACCAAGCCAAACCCTGCATTAGCATCTCGCAGTTCACTAAAGCACTTTGACTTCATATTGTGGCTACTGACATTCAAGATTCGTACTGTACCTTGGTGACCAATCCTATTTCTATCTTCTTTTTTTTTAGTCCCTTTCTTAGGGCTTAATCACAGCACATATTACTTTTTTTTTTTCCCCTAGAACACCTACTGTATTCCATAGATTCAGTATGAAGCACACTTCAAGCCCATGCTAGGCCTGATTCTGTATTATACCCCCAAACTACCATTTCTAGTAGTCTCAGGCTCTCCAGCCATCCTGCGTAGTTATCAAAAAGTACATATGTGGAACCAGCCTTAAAAAAAAAAAAAAGCTTTATCCAGCCATTACTCTGCACCTTTCAGCTACTGTGAACGAAGCCTCTCGTGGAGACAAAGCAGGCTTTTAAATGCCCAGTGATTCTCAGATTATAAACAATTTCTAAAACATGCACTGTCACAGTGAAAGTGTCTATTTAACTATCGCTACACAGAGGGCCGGATTAGAGGAGAAACTGTTGAGAACCACAGCAAGGCTGTGAGGTTTCATATTAATGCCAGCTGGCAGGAAGCAAGCAAGATAACGAGAAGAAAGAGGGAGAAGTAGGAAGAGAGGGGAAAAAAGGAAAATGATTCAAAAGAAACTTACGACATCATCCATGCAGAGAGAAAGCAAACTAGGAAGTAAAAATGTGAGTATACAGGCAGTCACACAAGCTCCAACATTCATACTTCTGCCTTGAGATTTCAGCCAGGGAGGGTTCTCATCAAGTTTAGGCAGCAGTACAAAGATCATTATATCACAGGCAGAACAAAACAGTTTGTTCAACCGGAACTACGTGGGGAACTTGAAACAAGCAGAAAGCAGAGGAATTACTCAGATCAGCCTAAAGTCTGGGATTAATAATTTCCCTTCTGCAGGAAGGAAAAAAAATTGAAAAAAATAAGTAGATTTTTGCTCCACTTGGAATGCTCAGCAAGATTAAACAGCTGGAACCACCACCAAGAGACGACATGTCCTGCTCACTAGTATTGTATGAGGCTTTTTTCCCAATGTGGACTCTACGAGTGTGAAGACTGAGTCACCAGCCACAAAAAGGAAAATGACTTTAAACATCCAGATCCAATTATGGATCATACTGTTCTTTCATCTTAAAGCAACCAATGATTTGTTAAAAAAATGAGTGTACCGATGCTGGAAACATTTCAAAGGGAATGTTTTGAGCCTCCTCCCATCAGGATCTCCCATGTCAAGCTCAACTGACGCTTACAGTTTCGCATTATCAGTAAATTAAAAGTCACCCACTTAGTATTTTGTAAGAAACTGAGAAGTTCATAACCTAATGATACTGAGAAGAATTGATGGATATAGCAAACAATCACAAGTGCCTTAAATGAAATAAAGGTACAGCATTACAGCAAAAAACAGGATGCATACATATAATAGAGATGAAATCAAACTTTGTAAAGAAATATTTTTAAAGCATCCCAATGCTTTTTAGCATTACTGCCTGTAATGGCCTCTCTGCAGGCTTGCCTTGCACTTACACACTTAACCTTGTGCAACAAAATGTTAAGAGGAAAAACAAGCATCAGTGTCTTCCTGCCCCCGGTCAGTGTAACATAGAACCAGAAAAGGCGTTAAGCTATCAGGCTTTTTTGCTTTGGATCAAGAGGCACAGAGCTGAGCATAGGAAGCAGGATGGGCTAGAATGGCAGCTATCCTTTGACCTAGGGTAAGGAAGCTTGATCTGAGAGGACAAAGGAGAAGCTGGTGGGTGGATGGTCAGAGTAAAGTGTAAAGTCCCTTAATGGTGTAAGGTATTTGGAACTGCCTTTTAGGCAATGTGAAGGGGAGCTCTATTGCAAAGAAGTCAATGAGGATGAGGTTAAAATAATCAAGATGGAAGGTAAGTGCCTGAAGGGACAGCCCTACCTTTCTAGAGAAGCATGACGCTGGGGGAAAAATCATAGAAATTATATTTACTAATCCTTTTCTGTCACTTGTGAATTAGTACTGCATTGTGAACAGAGCCAGAAACAAAAACCCAATAAAACTGTTAGCATTGTAACAGCAAAACAGTCAATATGCTACATGTCACCTGAATACACTGCAGCACGTTCATGATCACTTGAGCCTGGGCTGTGTGTCGAAGCAGCATCCCCACTATTACAATCGTTTATTTTACCATCAGGCAATCATCATCTGCAAGCAGGTGGTGTCTCCAGTTCTTTCCCCTAACAGTGTTCTACTGACCAAACCCACATTTAGTGGAGTGATTTCACTAACATCAACAGAACAATGACAGCTTAAGAGTTATTTCTATACTGAAATATTTACCTTATTTTCTTCCCAGCTCAGTTATATTTACCCTAAATCACCAGTCTACTTCAAGATTTACTACTCCGCAAACAGTGAACCACAGATTGTCAATTCTGAATTCCCTTCTCCAGCAATATCTCCTCTATGATTGTTGCAGTTTACTCTGCTTTTACTTTATTGCATAAGACTTGGTAAACTTGCACAAAATGTCAAATACAACTGTATTTTAGATATTCTTAACATCCCTCTGAATAGCACTGAGAAACACATCTTGTATCCAGCATGAATTCTGCATCCACAAGTAGATCCTTCCCCAGCACGCCTGCACTACAGAGCTGGGTCTGAGAAGAATCTGTATTTTTACTTATTAAAAAAAAAAATCCCAACTCAAACAAATAGCAACACCTGTGACAGCTATTAACACATTTCTAGATATGTCACAACTATTATCTTCTAAATGACATGACAGACAGTACCAACTTTCTCCATCAGTTTCCAGAAAGTCCGAATATAATTCCAATGGAAGACATGAACTTCCATAACCACCATGAAGAACTAATGTTAACGTCGTTGTTACCCATTCCATTACTCATCATTTTCACACACAGGAGAGAGTCATGTTCAAAAGTAAAAAGTGTTACTGCACAAGGCTAGAAAAAGCAAACAAGTGGGAGAAAGGAAGGGGAGACAGACACTGGGAGAACGAACAAAGGGAAAGAACAGGACCAAAGACGGGTGTGTGAAGTATTGAAAAAGATGTAAATACTTCAAAGAGAAGTTGCTCTGTCTCTGAGATGGATTCATAAACTTCAACAAAGACAGCATCTTAATTGCTCTTTTCATCACAGGTCAGAGTTTCCAAACATAAGATTAGTAAATCACTTGCATAATTAACCAAACTCCGAAGCACCACCATTACTCACGACAGGACTCGTCGTTCTGGCCCAAACTCTGCTTCATAGTAGCCATCTCTGCAGTCTTTGCCCACCAGATCGTGAGGGTGGGGCTTGTAGGGTTCATTCTTTGTTACCAATGTAGTTCTGATTTTGACTTTTCCAAAATAGTTCAGAATCTACAAAAAAAAGTGGAATATTTTCTAGATTTTAGATATCACGGCTAGTAAATCCCTACATGTAACAGAAAGTACATTTTATCCTAAATTACTTTATAGAAAAAACACCACAGGTAAAAAATGGCATTATCACTTTATAAAAGTAGAACTCATTCATTTCAGAAAGCAGAACATCATACTTAACCTGCTAGTTTTGGCAAAAAGACAGTTATTTGCAACAATAAAATTTTGCTAGCACCACTATTCAACGTTCAATCCATGCAGTTCTTGTACTACCCTACTGCTGCAAGAACAGAAAGTCTGAGAGGCTCTAAATCTTTGGGGTTTTGTTTTTTTCCTTTTGGAGGCTAGAGATCTATTGCTTCACCATCCCACCAGGGCTCCTTTTATGCATTGAATTCAGCCCTGTGCAAAAAGGCCAGAGGTAATACAGAAGCTTAGACCTAAACCAGCTTGTAATACTGTAAGACCAAACATAACAGGACATATTTCATTACCACGTGTAGCCTTACAATGAAAGATGCAAAATTCTGTGCAGGTGACCACACACAAACGTGTATTGAAGGACAGGTCTAGCTCTAAAAATCTCAGGAAAAAATTCCTAAAGCCTCAGGGGTAAGAATATTACCTGCACATAGAAGACTACATAACGAAAGAGGATCTTAACAGATACAGCACAACATAATCCCCTATGGAGTCTGGGGTTTTTTAATCAATTCTCAGATGAATATTCAATCTTATATTCAAAGAAGGTGGGCACTAAATTCTCAAGCTCCTCTTGGAGCATTCACAGCAGCCATCAGCTTAACATAACACATTTCTTAGGTGCATAAAAGTCTCCCCTCATGCCGAAGGCTACCAGTGAAGTCACCAAGGGTTGTGTGGGTGAGGAAAAAAAGAAAAGCAGTTTGTTTGAAGTATAAAAACTTGAAAGCAAATACAAGACTTGCTCAGGCACACAATTGTGCAGAGGTGAGCTCTCCTCCTCCACTTCCTTTGCCTTGTAACTAACTGTTCCTCTCCTCCTTCAGCCCTTTCCTTCTTCCTTCTGAGACTCCAAGCATCCATCATACATCTTTGGCTCTTCTAATGTCCATCACCTGTTAGCTCCTTCAGTCTCCAATTTGGCTCCTTCCTCAGCATTCATACAAGTCACCATTACTTTCTACCCAGAAAATCAAACTTCCACTGCTCCTTCACCTTCTTCAACAATTACATCATTTCTCCCTCACCTCGCACCTTGAGCTCAAAGTCTAATCTAGCCACTTTTGATTCTCCAGTTCCTCCTTGATGATTTTCTTCATAACCACACCACAAAATTTAATCTCTTCCTAGCCTCTCTGTTCTCATCCTCATTGATGTTTCCATCTCTAGAGGGGACTCCCCTAGCAGCTAATCAGCACTAAAGCCTCCTACAGGCTTCAGGGAGGAGGAATTCACCTAGAAATCACCTGTTATTGGTAACAATCAGCTCCGTCATCAACAATCTCCTTTTATAAAAAGAACAAACTTTGCCAGGAATGCTCTGTCACCTACAACGACCCATCTTTCCTTTGGGTCCAGGCTAAGAGGAACCAAGGGCTTATACTGCCTGTTCAACTTGTGCTCTGACACAGCCTTAGGCTGAGAGCCTGTGAAAATATTTACTCTTGCTAGCAGCCTATGTAGTTCCTTGTTCAATTGGGAGAGTGCTGAGAAAAAAAATAAAATAAAAGGCTGTCAAGACCTCTACTTCCTGCATTCCTTAAAAACTGGCACTGTGATAGTCAAGGAGGGGGGGGACCTTCTTGTTTGCTTCTTCCCTTAGTAATTCTGGCTTCAGGGCTGGATCAGCTTCCACAGTTGCTTTTTGCAGCAGAGGCTCAATCTGCTTCTCAACATGACTGCCAACATTTTCTCAAACTTTCCCTCTTTTTAAAGAACTTTTATGTCTCAGCCTAAAACAGCTCCTATTATTCAGATTCCATGTTCTCTTCCTATACTACTACTGCTGTGATTCCAGAGACTCCAACTTTAGCTCCACGTTTTTTGTGGGGTTTTTTTTGTTTGGTTTTTTTTTTTTCCTAATACTTGCAGGCACCGCAAACACAGATACACAGCTTCTTCTCCTGGGCACTGCAGTGTACACTTCAAGGTGCCAAGCACCCTTAACTTCCCATTTACATTTGAGCTGTCTCTTTCAATCTCATCTCTAACAGATTTTCACCAAATTAAAAGAGATCAAGTGAACACTAGCAACATAAACCTCAAATAGGAGACCAGAAATTCTTCTCCTCTTCCTTACCTGTTTAAAGCCTCTGACACATTCCTTTGTCCCACACAGAAGAGCTACAGCCGAAGTGCTTCTATTCCACCTCTGTGGTCTGGATCTTTGTCCTCACTTTGATCACAGATGCTAGGGCTACTCTGAATCCCTTCATTCTGGATTTCCTAACCTATCCATAACGCAACCACCCCATTCACCTTCACCGCAGGTGCTCTGACCACATAATTCCCCTTTCTCAGCTTGTTTTTAAATTCTGAATCCCCTTCTGACTTCACATACTTCACGGTAGATTCTTTTGCAGAGCCTAATCACTCTAACATTGGCTGCAAGTCACTTTCTCTGCTCATTTGCACAAAGCACCTTGTTTCAGGTTGCACATAGCAGCTTTCGCAGCATTTTCCAATTTTGCAGACAAACTCATGCAAAAGCTCTCCCAAAATTCATACTGCAGTCCAAACAGTAAAAAAGCCTCCAAGTCGCATAACTAAGAAGCCAAAACAAATAAGCATACAGAAAAAAAGCTAATAATGAAAGATTCCCAGACAACAAAGACAACTTTGCTGAATTCCCTCTCTAACAGCAGTTTGTTAACTCCCTCTATACCCTTTCCTCTTGTAAACCTGAAACAAAATCTTTAACGACTAGGAGCAAAGAACTCTTTTTCCACTCTGTTGCACCTACATTTGCATGCCACGGAAAGAATAACACAACACAAAAAGTATTTTATTTCCTGCACTGAGTCCAACCCCCAGCTATGTCACCATGTTAATCAGGACAATGGTAATTCATGGATAAAAGTGTTATTTACCTGTATGGAAGGGAACGTCTTATTGTTTTCAGTACTGTGTTCTCCTGGAATGCTGCCTGCTGATCTTCCTTCACATTTGTATCGGAAACGCATGCCCCTTTGCCTGGGTTGTTCAAATATTTCAATGTAAGGCTCAGAGCCACCTTAAAAACAAGACATTTTCAGTGTTAGTATACAGTAGAGCTTCACAAGCAGCATAAGATTTAAGAATTAGAAAAATCTAGACTCTTTGATTGACCTTACCACCTTCCCACTTGGTCTGCCTTCTCAGAGAATCTACTCTCGTTATGTACATGCACACACTGAAGGTGGGGAGTGAGAGAACAGATTTTAAACAAAGCTTTGAGTATCAATGCCATTGAAAGAATTAGTAAGGGACACCCTGACCTCCATCTCACCTAGAACTTCTTTTAGCTATTAGTGAGTATGTGTCTGATAACAGTGGATTTTATACAGCAGAAAACAAATAATTATTTTGAGGAAATGGCTGATATATTTAAATATAATGCACTTTTAGGAATGGCTGTCCTCTCAAAAGTACAGGTACTGTCAAGTAGTATGTTCTCTTAAATGCCCTCTGAAAGTGAAGATGTTTCCTCACAACTGATTAATTTAATTCCTATTACAGTGAAGCAGAAACTATGCAAATCATGGGGAAAAAAAACACCAAAACCCCTACTGTGTTGAATATCATCACTGCAGGCTCAGAAAATAGCTGATGTAGGTATTGAATTCTGTATCTTGAGCTGCCCACCTCCCACAGGGCTAGCTTCTGGTTGCAATATCCCCCTGACAATGAAACTAAGTGGGAAAAAAAAAAAAAAGTGCTATTGGGTAGTTGCCAAAAGAAGTTTTCAGGAAATACGAGTGATAAATAAGAAAAAGAGAGAGCAGAACTCTAAAATGGGGGCATCAGAAAGACATTAATTTAGCAAGAGCATAAACACTTTTCAAGTGCTGTTTTACTGCCAGCCAGTAACAAACTATTTAATATATCTCACCTAAAACATCAAACAGGATAGTCAATCAAACAGTGACAATAGTGGGATGGCATGTGAAAAACAAATAACAGAGAGTAAGTAAATATTGCAGAAGTTGAATCATCATGGTGCTGCACGATCAGAAGAACATAGCTTATGGAAATGTCTACTTGAGCGCTCTGTCATCTTCACATAATAGCATCCTACTCAAGCAAGGCTGAGCATCACAAACAAACATGACAGGCAACATCCTGTGGTACAGCACTGAAAAAAAGAGCTGGGACTTCAACATAATAAGCAAAACAGTTATTAAATATATTGAAAGTGCTAAAAGGGCAAAAGATCCCCTACTTCCTTTTGCCCAAGGTCTATACAGTTTATGAGTCCACAACACACGAGCTTTGGCAAAGAGGTGGATTCCAATCTTAACTCCATAATAAAAGCTTCTCTTCTGTTGCACCTACACTGATTTAGGTAGACCTGCCAACACAAAGCTTGGGCTTTTTTGCTGATTGCAAAACATTTCCAGCACTGCAGCAGTTGGTACTCCAAGTAGGAAAACACTATACCTAAAAGATGAAGTAATTAAGAGAAGTAGAGAAGGAATGGAAAGAACTACACCTCTGCGATGTCACCTTGGGCTGACCCGAATGCACATTTCGGCTGTGACACTGCTACAGACAGATGTGGAATGGCAGTATGTGAAAGCATCTCTTACACTGGAGTTGTCTTCAACAACACATGCTTTTTCAAAACCTGAGTGCCTTTTAAAGAAGAACTCCAACATGTATGTGGTGCCAAACATTTGAGAACTACAGTTCAGAACTCTCTCTATTCCAATCTAGCAATTTACCAAAATGTAATACCTAAACTGATCACCTCCCATCAAGTAGATTTTAAATAATTTTCTGAAAATAGACCATGAGCTGTCACATTAAATACATATTAACCAGTACTCTAAGTCCAGTTACTTACAAGGATGGTCCTTTCTCCAGATACTTAACCATCCTTTAGATAAGCCTGGCAAATTTTCTCTTTCTGGGAAATAAGCAAGTCCAGGAAAGGGCAGGGGTGGACAGGAATTGATAACAAAAAAGGCCTAGAATGACATAAAGCTGGTTTCAAAGAGAGAACAGAGGTCTGAACTTCTTGAAAAAACAAGCTCACACATGGCTATTTAACTTCCATACTGAAATTTGCTTATGCCATCATATTTACCAGCACACGTCAGCGGACCAAACAACAGAGGACTTCTGCCAGCAGTGAGGAGCAATTGCTGCATATCAATCAGCCTCCCCTTTCCATCAGGCAACTGAGGAGAGAATCTCACCTTTGCGTTCCTATGTAACACAGTATGCCACAAATGCAGACACATATGCATATACTAAATTAAAAGTCTATTTTAGAAGTTCTAACAACAAAATTGCAGCAAAGTGCCTACTAATCATCTTACTTCAGAGATGCACATGCTGACATCGTTGCTAACTAAATGCACGGTCCACCCACATATATTACGTAGTTGTCAAAACTAGCTATAGCCTCACTGTTCAAAACTACTATAAAATGCAATTATTTCAAATCTTTAACTCTCTCCTCTTTAACCAATGCATTCCTTTCATGCTCTACTAATACTTGTTTAAGAGGGCTTTTTTTTTCCCCCTCACCTATTAAGAGCACTTTTTTTAAAACTCTGGGCTAGTGATCTTTACAGGGCTGCGGTTGAAACAAATGTCATTGAAGGCAAACCCAGTGCTTAACAGCAGGTGTGTTTGTGGGAAAGTAAAGCTCAATGACACGGTAGCCTGCGGAGATTAAACTTCACTCTGTCTTGGCTCTCTCACTCTATTTAAGCATCACATTATCATCCCTACCGTGATTATTGGTGTCATCATCTTTTGTGTGGAGAGGAAATAGAGAAAAGTGTTTGTGTGAGCTAAAGGTATTATCAGCGCTCTGCAGCAGAGCAGAGGTCTGTCCAGTGTTCCCTGTTTCTGCAAGTCAGCAGCGTGCGTGAAGTAGTAAGGCTCAACTATTCCACAATCTGCTCTGGCACACAGAGGTCTGTTAAATCCCACACAGTTATAAAGACCGGAGGTCTTCAGGTCTTGCTGTGTTTGTCAAAAAAACAAACTCTCTTCCATTAATTCTGGAAGAGAAATGCACAGCTGCTCATACTACCTACCTGCCCACAACTACTTGGAAAAGCATCTGAAATGGAAAAAAATAGCAAAAATCTAGTTAATCCTTCATCTAAGTGCTTAAGAGCTTAATTTGCATTTGTAATTAATTATAATTGCCTATATGCAAGCTAGCAAAAGAAACATTATGCTACATATTACAACCTGTCTTGTTCTTTTTGTTATAAAATCGTTTATTCCCCCCATGCCTGGAATACTACACTAAATAATTTAAAAGATAATACAGACCAAGTGTCCCAATTACACACACAGGGAAAATAGGTAAAAGCAGTAACAGCTCCAAGAGCTCAGTCAGCTTACATTCATTCAAAAAGAAAGGCTGTTTCATTATCATGTTTTGAGCAATACAAAAAGGAAGAAAAGGACAAAAAAAAAAAAACAAAACAAAAAACAAAACAAACCTCAAAACAATACTTCCCTCAGACCTCTCCACAACGAGAAACCTGTGCCGGTTTACAGTTTTATCACAGCCTGTGCCACAAGGGAAGAAGCGCGATGTGCTGTCACTAAGTGAAGCAGCAGCAGGATCCAGGGTTTGTATGTTTTAGCTTGTTCCTTCACTCATAGGAAGCAGGCTCTGCAGGTACTGCCCAATTCCTAGTTTTCTCGTACACTGAGGAGCACCCACCCCGTGCCCAGACTCTTGAGCAATATTTGCACACGAAAGCAAAGCAGCTGTGGGGCTTTGTGGAAGATGTGAAAGTATCACTTGAAACCCTGTGATCTGAGGTGACTGCAGTGAGACACAGACAGGGGAAGTGTTGCCCTTCAGTGTTGATGTCACTGCTCCGTGCGGGTCACCGGTGGCCCTACATCCTCCAAAGCAGGAGCTGTTCCCGAAAAGTAAGAGCAGATGATCGATATGCTTATAACATTCTGCAGCACCTCAGGCAAAAAAAGAGATGATGGTGGGAGATTTGTTATTGCACGTTCCAGCTCAGTCTAAAATAACCCAAAGGATAAATATACTTTTACTTTGGAAAGCAGTAACCTACTTAGGACTCCACAAACTGTATAGATTCGAAGAGAGACAAAACTGCTCACAAACTTCCTCTTTACTTTCATGTCACGTTACAGAATAGCAACCAAAGGGGGGGGGAGAAGCAAAACTACAAAATCTAACCAGTACCAGGAAGTTATGAACTTCCCCTACTAAAAAATTCCTATCTGGTTCCTAATTACAATGAAAGTATATTAAGACATCAAGGAAAAGAAAAAAAAGAAGAAAAAAAAAGCGCTATCTCCTGCTTCAGTTTCGCCATTTGGTATAGTAACATTTAAAAGATGCTTCCATACAAATCCACTTTTCTCACTTTGTTGATAGCACACCTATATCTTCAG